GAGCTGCTTCGATATGATTATACTGTTTAGAATATGCTGTGAAGAGGGGAGCTAAGCAGTAGACTAGCCCTATATCTCTGGTTTCGTCATTATGTATGCCATAGGGGAGTTTTTGCATCAGAGACATTGGCTATACTAGTCAATCAACCAGTCGGTGGCTGTCACTCGTGGGTAACACTAATTGGGTAGCCACTAATAAGTGTTGTTGGGCGGGACAGTCGCGAAGTGACACTACTGTAGAAGGTGCAATAGTCAGTATAAGCAGAAGTCACTGTCTGGGCCGCAGTGGCTTCCAGGCTCAGACTAGCGCATATAAACAAGAGCCAGGCTGTCCAGATGCCACTCCACCTTCATCCTCATCACACCATCGCTGCATGCACGGAACAACTAGTTCATCCACCTTCGCATCTTCCCCTCTCGCGATACCACCACCGTACCCTGAACCTCTAGCCATCATTGTTGCTCATGCATGGAAATTCAAAATGCTATTCAAGTATCTTACGGAGGGGAAGATAAATTTACGAATGGCGAGCAGACACATCATGGGTTCGGGCTTGGTAAGGATTTGCAAGGAACACAGTGAGTGATGACAACACTGTATCTGACTGTCCAATGCAGAGATACCTACCTATCAGACTTCCTAGTCGACAGGAAATCCGTTTGACGCATCTTCAACGTGGAATTCCATCCTGAGGTTCTCCAGCAAAGTCCTGACGTTATCCGCTTTCTTGTGGTCAATCACCGCTGGACAAAAGACCAAACGAGATTGGTGTGGAAGGCAGTCGCAACAAAATGTCCTTTTTCCAACAACCATCCTTTCACAACAACCACATTCTTCCAACGACTACATTTTTCCAGTCACTACAGCAATCAGCCACTATCACTCGCCGGCGGCGGATATGCGAGGCAATTGTGCCTGACCAAGAGCCAAGGAGGGGATGTATACTCTCTTGGCGACTTGTATGTATCCCAAAGATGCTCTTCGATTACCTTTTTTTACTATGCTGATCAGAATCGTCGCAGGGATTACACTATCATATATCACATCTGTCTCGGTGCTCAACTGCTGCAACTCGTCAAAGTACTTCGCGGGGATATTGTATTCTTGTTCTACTATCCCTTGCCTTCCTTGTCAACAATGGAAATATAGATCTGCTTGTCGCCGACGTGCTCTACGATCTTAGCACTAGCACAACGAGGGCGACGAAGACGGAGACGAAGACGAAGATGATATCTTTGAACTAGCTAGTCACGTACATGGAAGTCGAGGAGCCATTTGAAGACACTTTGGCGGGTATCCTGTACTTAGCCTAGCTGCTTAGCAGCTCCAACAAACCCATCATCATACTACTACTATTCCTGATCCTTTTCTGGTTCCGGCATTTTGCGGTAGCGCACGGTATCATCCAGTTGCTATTTGTACATTGTGCTTTGTCTTCCGCTATACCTTGCTAACCGCAACCCATAGCTAGTCAATTACTATCATAACTCAGAGCTTCACCAACACACATGCCAGAGGGAAGGGTTTTCGAGAGGCACAAGAGAGATCAAGGAACCAACTGACATTGTCCCTGATACGAGGCATCTTACATCTAGTGAAGGTCACAGACCATTTATACCTCTGCACCAAGCTTTACGAGCTCCCAATCAGCCACTACACCATCACCGTGTTACGGTTCCTCCATGAGTTGAGCATGAATCTTGTGGAAAGGACAGTCGGCAGTTGTCGCTCGTTGGCGATACCCATCAGCCATTGTCGACAGGCAGAGACATCATATCCATATCTCTCAGAATCGTTGGGCGGGTAGCCGCTGGAGCACACTGTAGCTAGCTGAGTACTTTGATATAAGGTGTTTTTTTTCTTCCTTTCTAGTTGCTACTACTGCTAAACCTGTATTACATGTAGCTCAGCTAGGTAGTGACTCAATAGAGTACTATAGATCTCAGGGCTCACAGGTATGCATTCCGTGAGTGTGGTTCTTATATCGAGAACGTTGAACCTGTGTATGTCAATCTATTGACTGTCGACAACTGTTACTCGTGCGCAACGGCCATGAGATTGCTGCTGGTCAGTGTCATTGGGTGGAATAACTCCACAGAGAAAGCTACACCAACCAATTACTTTCACTTCGTGGTCGTGCGATGTCCTTCCTACGATAAGTCTCGTGTTCAACAGCCCCATCCCAGGTTGTTCCCGGGACTTAGAACCAGGGGGTACGACTGTTTCATTTTCTTTTAGAGGGATTAGAATTCATCCAGATCCTTTGCATGGAACCCTTGATAATTCCAACTATGGTGGGCGGCTGCGAACACTGTCAAAGATACGACGCAGTATGTATTGTGCTGTAGTATCACGTAGTCAGACTGCGGATATATACTAGAATTTCTTTCTAGAGTGGAGAGACTACCATCTCTACTTGATACAATACAGAAATTAGATTTGAACTCTGTATCTACCAGCTCGACTGTGGGCCACCTCTTCATCTTTTGAACTCGATCTCGTATCGTGCCACAGTATCTCTCTTTCATTCCAAGCCTAGAAGAAAGTTGTTTGACGTGGTTTACCTTCAAGCGGCCGGACTCGACTCCATTCCCTCCTCTTCTCTTCAGTTTTCGCGTAGCGATTGAGAAAGTTCTCGCGACATCGGGGTAGTCGCTCCTTGTACACGGGGTAGTTGTTATGAATTGACCCAACCGTTTCATCCATGATAGGCACCAATATCGGCCAAAATCTCATCCATTAGCTCGATACTTTGTCGCCAACTCGCCTCGAGACGTTACTGCTGCGTCCTATCCTCTGGAGTGAAGGAAACAGGGCACGTTATGGAAGGACCCACGCATTTGGCCCACTCATCCTGAAGGCGAATGAGAAATCCTTGTAGAGCCGCCTCTCCATCTATGAATACTGAGCCTGCCAATCTAGTAATTTTACCAGGCAGAGTGTCTTGGAATCGCAGCGCATGAGCAACCTCCGGACATTGCTCGAGCATGTAGATTTCATAAAGCTTGTAGACAGACTGTGCAGCCCGGAGATTCTTGGCTTTTTTTGTGCCTCCTCGTTCATATCCTCGAAATTATCAGGGAGTGGGATGGGCTTCAATCCTTCTGGTATTGGTCCTTCAAGCTCGATGGGTGAAGGATGGCGTACTTGGAGGAAGATTGGGGAGACATTAACCGCTTGCCAATCAATGATGTTCAGGGTCTTGGTCGGATGCGATCGCAGTGCCAACTGCGGTGGAGACGGTAGAGCAATTTGCGAGGTGAGATAATTTCAAGTTGTCGTACTAGCGTGCGGATGTAGGTGCTATGTATGTATGTAGTAGTAGTTAGCCGGGCCAGGAACGTCACCCGCTGCCACGTGCGGACTGAAATACTGATAGTTTTTGTTGTGGCAAATATGAGTACAGCGTTGTGCGAGATATGCGGAAAGACTGTAATTGCATACCCTGTCCTGCTGGTCGTCTCTGAAACTAACATGTATTATAGAGTTTGCCTGGTACTGAGTCACGCACCGTTCATACATAGTGAACCAACTAATCACGTGCATCCATTTCTCGTACGAACTCTCCATCACATGCATAGTGAAACATACAAGCGATTTTCAACACCTATCTACCAGGTAGTGGGTCTTGATTGAGGCATATTAAGCCCAAACAGTGATTTTCAGACAGTGATGCACAAGTACAGAGCCCTATACCAATACTAGCAAGAGTGAATCATTCAAAAAGCCACGTGATTCCATCCACCAACAACCCAAGACACTGTGTATCAAACCCACGCTTACACGCCTAAAACACATGTTATTGTATTTTCACCCCTCTCATCAATGTACACCCACAACCTCCCCCTCACACAATCTAATCCAGCCCTGTATTTCCTCCCTGCTTCTCAACTTCTCCCCCATCTGCATCAAACCCATTCATCCCATCCATCTCCAACAAAAATTTACTTCCAACCTCACTCAAAACATAATACACATCCTTCAACATCACCATAAATCAAATTCCACATTCACCTCCTACTACACCAACCAATCTCTCATAAAAATGTCTACCCCTTCCTCATCCTCAGCCCCGACCCCCTCCCCCTCCCCCCCACCACCTCGCTGCCCCTCCTGCACCTCCCTCCTAACCACACACGACTCCGCAACCCACGAGATCCGCACCTGCGCCACATGCTTTGTGCGACTCCGGTGCACAGAGTCTCTCTGGGGCCGCATGACGAACGAGGAGATTACATTTTTCCCGCAGGTGCTGGATGATGAGGATTTGAATAGTGATGGTGATGGTGATGGAGAGGTGAAGGAGGAAGATATAGTGATTGAAGACCAGAGGGAGCAGAAGAAAGCGAGAACGGGGACGGGGATATTTTCGTGGGTTGTTGGACGGAGGTGAGAATGAAAAAGGGGGGGAAAGGGTTTTTGTAGAAATAAAAAAAACCAAAAGTTTAATAACCAAAAATAAAAGTTACAAGTACCTTTTTGTGTGAATAGATGTGGATGTTGGTTGTTTCTTTCCAAGTAAAAGGTGTTGACATAGGATCGTCCTTATGCATTCGGACATAGTATCAGAAGAATACTCTTAATTCCATTTAGAACAAAACTTCTACGAATTGTCCCCTGGTAACGTATGTGTGATATTGCCCCCCTTTCATGATTGAGAAAAGATGAGAGAGACATGATAGTAATGATGATGATGGGAGCTCGAAGCTCTCGCATACCCGCTCCACACCTTCCTGAATATGCGCCTGTTTCCTTCCAACGGTTCGATGGATACGAGCTATTTGCTGATAAGCTCGTATATGGAACTTATGAGACGGATCCGGTGGGCTGGGAGGTTGTAGTCTTTGTACCCACTTTCTACTCTTGCGTGACATGCTCTTCTTGTAGATATTCTTGAGCTTGAAAAAGCACACGTTGAGTTGTCTTTCCCCTTTCTCTTCTTGGCATGCTGAGTGTCTTTACAATTCCCTCTTGGCACGCCCTCTTCTGTACATCTGATTTAAAAGTCCTTGAAACTCTCTTCCCACCGGTCACTCAATTCCTTGGTATATGGTTCTCTGTTCTCTGACTCTGGCTCATACTCGTCAAAATTCCGCGTGTCAGCTGGGCCCCGTAGGTGTGGTACTATAGGACCTTGGGTTTCGCGGTTATATATCTTCTGCCAGTCAATGTCTTTAAACCACTCATGGTCCTTGACACGTTGAGCACCACCAGCGACATTTCCCAGACGCTTAGAGGTGTCGACGGTGCAGAGGCCAGAGATAAGATCCCGTGCAGTCGGTGACATTGCAGACGGAAAGCGGACGCGTCCTTCTACAATTCTACAAAAAAAAATTAGCATAAACCTCATATTCTCGTATTTTGAAACATACTGTTCGTAGATCTTCATAGGATTCTGATCCCAGAAGGGCGGTTGCCCAACGAGGAATTCGTACACAAGGATGCCAAATGCCCACCAATCGACTGCTGTGCCATGGCCTGATATTCCGTCAGTGGGGTACCAATAGCATGTGTGGTGCAGATCGTACCTGTATTACGAATGACCTCGGGAGCCAGGTACTCGGGAGTACCACAGAGCGTGTACGTCTCCCCTAGGCGAGCTGTCAGTCTCCACTCCCCACATGCGACCAATGACGTAACTTACTGTTGTCTACCTTTTTCGCAAACCCAAAATCTACCAATTTGAGATGACCCTCTGCGTCTATGAGGATATTCTCTGGTTTTAGATCACGATATGCCACGCCCTCGCGCTCGTGTAGAAACTCCAATATCAGCACAATCTCAGCAGCATAAAACTGCGAAGTGGGCTCGTTGAAGCGCCGTGCTCTTCTCAGATAACTGAAGACTTCGCCGCCAGGGCAGTAGTCGAGCTGGTTTAGTTGTTAGCGATTGCCAACTCTTGTTCGTATATGCGACTACATACTACCATGTAGAGCGAATCGAGTGACTGGAAGCTGGCGACCATGGTGGTTATGAAGGGGTGGCCGGCGACCTTTGCGAGGACATTGCGCTCGTTTCGGACGTGCTCGACTTGTTTGAGACGAATGACTGAGACGAGGCGGTCAGCGGCAGCGCAGTGGTCACTTGTTGCGGGGCGTGCATACCGTCCACCTTGCGTAGAATCTTCAAAGCAAAAACCTTGTTCTCGTCGCCGGGCTTTGCATCCTTGAGTCGCACGAGCCAGACGCGCGCAAAGGTGCCGGTTCCGAGCGTCTTGATGAGCTCAAAGTCTTCCTCTCGCAGCACTTTTGACGAGTGGCCGACGGGCTTCTTCTGAGGGTCAATGTCGATTTCCTCGGGGGTGAGGGTGTGCTTCTGAGCCTCCCACAGCGCCAACTGCTGCTTCTCCTGTTCGCGCGGCTTGTCCATGGCCGAGTCGGTACGGTCGTGCAGGGGACCGGAATGGGGCGGTTCTTTCTTGTCGCGATGGTGGTGCAGCGGGTGGAGCATGTTTTTGAAGGCAGTCGCCATGGCGATGGGGGGAGCTAGCTCTTGGCCGCAGTGGGCGAGGAAGCCAGGAGCGAGGGGATGAGGGAATTAGGGAGCGGAGAGGCGGGTTCCGTTCTTGTGGCAGGGCTCAGTAGCAGAGGCACCACATGGCAGACACGGGCAGTCGGCGACGGGTCAATGGCAGTGTTTGCGTGGATGGTGGGCAAACGGGGCAGGAAGCGTGAATGGAGGGCGGGCCTGGGGTTAGGCAGAGCAGCCAGGCAGGTGGCAGAGCACAATCATGGGCCTTCCTTGGTGGGCGCTGGAGAGAGATGGGGTGGGATAGGATGGGCACGAGGGAGCGGGCGCGGGCGCGACAGGAGGATAGCGGGGGTCCTAGGACGAGGGCATTGCTGCAAAAGATGACGCACCGGGCGTGGGGAACATGCAACACTCGCCGGCCGAACCCTGGTGGGCTCTGCGAATAGCGAATACACGCCCTGCCCTGCCTTGCAAGTAAGCCGGCCCGCTGTGGTCCAGTCGTCTTGACCGCTTGCAGTATCCCTTTGTTCGCCCCAGCCCACGCTACCCGCCGGCCCTGGCCTGGTTGCTGTGCCCAACTACTTGCGGCACTTGCTACATGTGTAATACGCAAATAGAGCATGCTCTGGCAACACCAGCCGCCGTGGGGTAGCAATAGGCGGCATCCGGGTCTCGCTGGCAGCTGATGTCTTGCGGCTTACCGTAAGCCGCCCTGAATCATCCGACATGCATGTGCATGAACCACGGTACGTACGCTGCAAATAACGGCTCGTCGCATTCACACTAAACTCGACAAACTCCGCGCCCGACGCTGCTCTCGGCGTGCTTGCCGGCCTTCAAATTGATACCGCTACTTCACATGCAGGGCTCTACCCGCCCCAACTGCCGCCATGCACAAATGCCTATATATATAACTCTGATCCAAAAGCTCTCCTTCTTGCCCAGGCCGCGTAAATCGCCTTAAAGTGCCCATGTGGCCTGCACCTTCTCTTGACCTGCGCCAGTTCCCCACCCCAAACGCCAATGTGTTGCAGGCTCAATCGAGTATTTCTACACCTTGTAGTCGTACAATACAAATAATCCTTTCCCTGTCCGCTCAGCCGCTTGCCCGCGTGTTGAGAATGAGGGCAACAATCAGTCTAGTCCAGTCAGTACATGAGCAATCGTGCAGTCTGCATAGCGCCGTCCTTGTTGCACGCGCGCGCTGACCATGTTGGCGTGTTCTGGCTTGGGAGACGTACCCGTAAAGACCCAAGACTTCTGCGAAAATGAGAATGAGCACCATGCCGACAAAGATTCGCGATTGGCTCATAAAGGAGCGCACGCCCTGCTGCAGTTAGCCTCTCTCTCTCTTTTCCACTATCTCTTAACAACTGGACATACAGCGTCGCCCACAATTCCGATGGCGTATCCTGCAGCCAGACCCGACAAACCAACTGACAATCCGGCAGCCATGTGCATGAATCCAGCATACAGCGAATACGTGTTGTTGGGCGGGGGCTTGATGTCGCTGGCGATGAGGACGGATATGACGAGTGAGTAGACGGCCAAGATACCCGACATGACAATGGGGATGAGCGACTGGCCAAGTTAGATGGAGCTTTCTATGGGCGGACACAGGGCGGCGCACCTTCATGATCAGGTCTGGCCTGTATGTTCCGATACCAGCAATGCCGATGCCAGCTTTGGCGGTGCCATAGGCAGCTCCGGCGCCTGCTTCGATTAGCTCCTGTGCAGCTTGACTACGCGTCCCGGGGGTGGCATACATCCAAAGATCATCTAGGCGAGGTTGGTACATTAGTCGGCCAGCTGCAACGGGGGCGAGGAGCTACTCACTGCAAACGCGATTCCGCTCTGCATGGCTGTTAGCTATGAAGTCATGACACGGGCGCGGCCGGGGGCACTCACCATGCCAAAGAAAGGCGCGAAGCTCGGGGCGAGCTCGTTGGAAGACATGGTGCCTGTGATGCTCGCGACAGAGGGGGATGGATGGAGGGTTGTGTAGGCGTGGGTCGTGGTGGTGGAGGCGTCGTCGGAGACAGCTGGGATGCGGCCAGGCGGTTGGTGAGGAGGGCTCTGGATGCCAAGCGCATGCCGGTCCAACACCTGCACCACCGCCATTCTCCCCAACGTCGCGAGCTGCGAGGAAAGCCGGCCAGCGCCCCCCTCCCCCCTCAGCCAACGCTACCCCATAGTCGACCTGCAACCCCCATCCTGCCCGCGCCACACTTACCACTCGCCAGCTGCCGCCGTTTTTATCCTCACCACGGGCTCCTCGCACCCGCTGCCTCCCCCTCCCCCCTCGCTGGGCGGCTTGTTCCCTCAACTGCCGGAGCGGTGGCCCTGTTGACCCTTCTCTGCAACACCCCGCCGCCCTGTCCACGCCCACACCCGCCCTCGCTCGCCAGCACGCCCTCGTTCAAGTGAAAAAATAACAAGCGTGACTTGCCGCCGTGCCCATCAGTCGCCTCGACTCGTGCGCCCCCTCGTGCCGGCTCTGCTGCCCCGGCCACGCCGCCGAATCCCTTGTATCAAAAAGCCCTCGTTCACGTCCACCGCCCGCCAACGCCCACCGCCTCGCCCCAGCAGCGCTGCGAATGCTCGCGACAGGCTAGATCCGCTGTAGATTGAAGAGACATGGCCGACTACGGCAACCAGCAGCGGCCGGACTATGCGCGCGGCCAAACCCATGGCCAGCCCTCGGGCGCAAGGGAAACCGCCTTCACAAATATCTTCGGCGCCAGCCCGTCCATGGCCGGCCGCTCCCAGACCATGACATCGCAGTCGCACAGGAACATCCCCGACCGCGCTGCCACAATGTCCAGCCAGACGGCCGACATGATGCAGCGCGCCCCGCCAATTCGCCAGCCCGTCAACGGCTACGATCGTCGTCCTCACCCACAGTACGATCAGCGCACGGGACCAAGTCTCGGAGAGCAGCGCCCCATAGATCCGCCGAATGCTTATAATCGCCCTATGCCAAACGGTTACGGTCAGCACCCGCGATATCCTGACGGGCAACAGCAGCAGCAGCAGCGCCAGCCGCAGCCTCAGTACCTGCCACAGCCCCTTCGCCCTGAGCGCCAGCCATACGGCCAGCCCCAGCGCTTCGACTCCCGCATCTCTCCTCCTGGCCAGCCCCCTTACAACAAGCCCATTCCCAATCGCTTTCCCGGCGGTCCAGGTCCTGCAATGAATTCGGATCCTTACCGTTCACAATCACTTGCCTTGAACCCACGACCACAGTTCAACCCTGGTGGACCATCCCATCCGTCCCCCGCAAACACGTTCCGTCAGCAGCCTTATATGAACCACATGGCCAGGACCACAGCACAAGGACGCGTGGTACCAGAACGGCCCGATGAACGGACAATGTCCATGACCTCGTACACAAGGGATCCCGAGTATACACAGACAATGAGTGGTAGAATCATACCAAGTCGAAGGCGAGAATCTGGTGAATCTGAGATGTCAAGTGGACCGCACGGTCACCCCCAACACCCAAACATGGGACTGCCGTCCAATCCTAGGAGTGTGAGCCAAGGAAGCATGTCGAATCAATCCCGCTCAATGTCCATGGCATCCACAATTGTGCCTCCTTCGGAGCGTACCAGCACTATGACGTCCATTAGCTCTCGCCCAGACTCATCTCAAACACTTGGAAGCAACTCCAGCAACAATAGGACTTCCAACCAGTCCATGACTTCGCTCGTCCCCGCGCAACAAGCGCCTGCTGCCCAGCGACGGGCACCTCTGGTCTACCCTGCCCTGCTATCTCGCGTTGCCGATACCTTCCAAGACCGAGTGGTTCTTTCTGACAAGGAAAAAGATGGTCTTGTTTACAAGAGTGCTTTTACGGGTGCAGATGCAGTTGATCTCATCTCTTTCATTATCAAGACTACCGACCGTAATCTAGCGCTCCTCTTGGGCCGGTCCCTTGATGCGCAAAAGTTCTTCCACGATGTTACGTACGCGCACCGCCTGCGAGATTCGACGAACGAGATATACCAGTTCCGTGAGACCATGGTGGAGGACAAGTCTGAGATCAACGGAGTCTTCACTCTATTGACCGAGTGCTACTCTCCCACATGTACACGTGACCGTCTGTGCTACTCAATTGCATGCCCACGCCGTCTGGAGCAGCAAGCCCGTCTCAACATGCGCATTCAACCCGGTCTCAAGCGCGAGGAATCCAGAGCAAGTTTGCACGAGGAAAAAGACCAAGAAGAGCAGAAACTGTGGATTAATACCGTACCAAAAGAAATTTCGGACAGTGTGTCGGAGAAGGAGCAAAAGCGACAAGAGGTCATCTCCGAGCTTATGTATACTGAGCGCGATTTCGTCAAGGATCTCGAGTACCTTAGAGACTTCTGGATGAAGCCCCTGCGCAACCCCGCGATATCACCAATTCCCGAGCACCGCCGCGAAAAGTTTGTCCGTACCGTCTTTTCCAACTGCCAAGAGGTCTACATGGTCAATTCCCGCATGGCCGAGCAACTTACCAGACGCCAGCAAAAGGAGGCTGTTGTCCGAAACATTGGAGACATCTTCCTGGAATTTGTACCTCATTTTGCGCCATTCATCAAGTACGGTGCTAACCAGCTCTTCGGTAAGTACGAGTTTGAGCATGAAAAGCGCACCAACCCAGGCTTTGCCAAATTCGTCGACGAAGTCGAGAGGATGAAGGAATCAAGAAAGCTGGAGCTCAACGGTTACCTTACTAAGCCAACCACGAGGTTGGCCAGATATCCACTGCTTTTGGAGAACATTGTCAAGTACACCGCGGATGACAACCCGGATAAAGAAGATATTCCCAAGGTGATTAGCATCATCAAAGACACGCTATCAAAGGTCAACATCGAGTCCGGCAAGGCAGAAAACCACTTCAACCTTATGCAGCTCAACAAGGATCTCAAGTTCAGGCAGGGTGAGTTTGTCGATTTGAAGTTGACGGATGAGAATCGACAGTTGGTATTCAAGGGCACATTGAAGAAGACCCCGACCGAAGCTACTGGCGACATTACTTGCTACCTCTTCGACCATGCTGTTTTGTTGGTGCGTGCGAAGACTGTGAACAAACGTGAGGAGCAAAAGGTCTACAAGAAGCCAATACCTCTGGAACTTTTGGTCATCACGCAAATGGAGGAAGTTAATCCTAAGCTGGGCATTGCAAAGAGACCTTCAGCAAACTTGATTGCTGGCAAGGCCATTGCTGCGGCAACCCCAAAGAACAACGATCCCAAACAGCAAGGCTACCCCATTACCTTTAAGCGTCTTGGAAAGGGTGGATATGAACTGACTCTCTTTGCGAGCACGCCAATCTCCCAGCAAAAATGGATGGAGCACATTGATTCACAGCAGCGAAATCTGAGGGAGCGCAGTAACATCTTTACCAAGACTATCATCCACGAGGGACCCTTCTCCCTCAACTCTCCTACTACTATCCGGGTTACCTGCGCTGTTCCTCTGGGTGAGTACATATCAAGTTTGACCAAGTCAAATACTAACATGATGCAGATGGTGGTCGCAAACTGGCCCTTGGAACGGACAATGGTGTATTTATTGTGGAGCGCAAGCCAAAAGATGCCTCGATACGTCCTCGTCGTGTACTGGACTGCAAGGGCGTTACCCAGATCGAAGTTCTCGAGCAACATGCTATTGTGCTGGTCTTGGCCGACAAAACTCTATACTCCTACTCGACCGATGCCCTGGAGCCTGACGAGTCGCAAGCCATGGCCAAGCGTCCCCGAAAGATTTGCCATGCCAACTTCTTCAAGGCTGGCATTTGCCTGGGCCAGCAATTGGTCGCTGCGGTCAAGACGTCGGCGCTGTCGACTACAATCAAGGTATACGAACCCAAGGAGCAGATGGGCAACAAGAACAAGAAGTCTGGTTTCGCAAAGATGATGCTATCAACAGGTGGCGCCGATCAACTCAAGCCCTACAAAGAATTTTACATTCCTACGGAGTCGACGTCCATTCATTTCTTGCGTTCTAAGCTCTGCGTTGGTTGCGCACGTGGTTTTGAAGTCGTCAGTCTGGAAACACTCGAAACGCAGTCACTTCTTGACCAGGCCGACACGTCCCTCGACTTTGTTCTGCGGAAGGAGAACATCAAGCCAATTCACATTGAGCGCATGGCAAGCGAATTCCTGTTGTGCTACACAGACTGCTCATTCTTTGTCAACCGCAACGGCTGGCGAGCACGACCAGACTGGGACATCACCTGGGAGGGTACACCGCAGGCCTTTGCCATCTTCAACCCATACATCCTTGCTTTTGAGCCTAGCTTTATTGAGATTCGGCATATTGAGAGTGGTGGTCTTGTGCACATCATCACTGGGAAGAACATTAGGTGGCTACATACATCAACAAGAGAGGTACGTCGTTTCGATTCATGGATCGCTGTGGAAACAAAAACTAACAGATCCAGATTTTATACTCGTACGAGGATGAATTCGGCACCGATGTCATTGCCAGCCTGGACTTTTGGCAAACCGGAAACGCAAAGCAGTCACTTGATGTCCCACACGGCTCCGAAAAGAGCTAGACGCAACGATATAATCAGTAAAAGAAATTTAGCGTCAAGTTCTCTGTTCTCGAAAACACGATGCTAAATGAAGTGGCGGCAGACGTTTACGCAGTTCATCTGCACTGTAACCGACGCTATTGCATTCAATCAAGGCTACTACTGCACAGTCTCGAGCATGAAACCCAGAGAGAGAAAGAGAAAAAAGAGGAATCGAGCCAGGCAAAGCATGACAACTGTTGCCTTGGTTGAGCCGCGGATCGGTGATGGCAATGGAAGGGGAGGAGGTCAACGGGGGACGGGGGCGGAGGAGGTTCACTTCATTCATACTTCTCTTCCTTCACAACAACTTTTGTCCCTTTTTTTTCTTGTCAAAGGAAAGAGAGAGAAGGGGGGCAAAGAGAGCATTTGTATCATATTAGACTAAAGGGGGCGGGCTGTGCTTGAAGTTTTTTTTTCTCGTTCGCTTTTCTTGGAAACAAAGACATCCGTTGCCGCGGTTTGTGGGAAGTAAGGGAAAGTAGGGAAGGGTAGGGAGAGGAAAGATTTTTTTTTAGGAAAAAAGAGTAGTTGAGGATCGAACGCAGCTTTAATTTGAAGAAGCGATTCAGCGAACTTTTTGGTCTATACCTTTGCGAACTATCTTTTTTTTGGTGGTGGTGGTTTGTTGTTCTTTTTGAGGTGTAGTACTTGAGCAGGGATCGGATGAGGAGGATTTATCATTGGTTCCGGAGATTTTTTTCCCCATCCACGCCGTTAGCGATATGGATTTGGCAACGTGGGAGGGGTTTTTTTTGTATTCGTTCTTGTTTCGATATCGGTCCGATACCCACTGATTTTTTTTGATTTCGGTTTAAAACAATAACGAAGCGCGGAGTGGGGTGGAGGCACGGGAAGAGGGAGAGAGGGATGTTTAAACAAATCGAGTCGAAATATTTTGCATGCAAATTCGAATATTTAGGGTTTTTTTTTCTTGTTTAAGTCGGACCGCGTGCCGTGTGAATGTTCCAAGTACAAAGAAGAAAAAAAGATTATCAGTATACTAGCATTTTGTTTGGAAGGGGGGAAACGAGGGGTGTGGAAAGCCGCAGTTACCGCAATAGTAACGAACTTTGGAGATACGTGTTTCCACGAAGCTGGTGACACACACACCCGCCCCCGTCCGTCTCCACATCCTTACCCATGTCACCACGAATCCCAGCCCCCCGTCCACTTAACAAACCCTAGGTTTCAGACAGTGGAGATGACTTTCGCCACGCTAGTACGCGGGGTCATTGTCGTTTTCCCCCAAAGTCCACCGTGTCTACTGGAGTTGGCTACCGCAGTACTCATTTACTTGGTTTTTAGGTGATTCGGAATTTGTGCAAAAGGGAAAAGAGAAAAGAAAGGAAAGATGGCGTCAGGTATCATGTGGGTCTCATCGCGAATTACGCATCCGGAGCGGCTTTCGGTGGATAAGTATTCAGATTGGTATGAGAATGTATGGGTTTTTTCTTGTCTTCCCACGCCCACTTTCTCGTTTTTATGTTTTTGCTTGCAAAGTTGAATTGTTTGAAGGAAGAAGAGTTGTAAATGAACTGTGGTGTTAAGAAGCTAACGCTGAATGTGCTGTCTAGGATCATATCAAAGATGTCCTCAAATTGCCTGGTGCTGTAGCCGCAGTGAGGTACCAAGCTATGGAACACCCAGTAAAGGATGGAGGGGAGGAAAAGACGTATAGTAGTGAGATACCTTGGTTGGTAAGTTTTCTTGTCGCTTTATTCACGTTTGTTTGTTTTTCGTTTCGTTGTCTGTGACACGTAAAAATATGGCAAGTAGCTATATCACACGTTTCTCATGCGAACATGGCGAGAGGTTTTCCTTGTCTTTGGGAATTGGGTTCTAAGTAATCAACAGGTAGTCTACGAACTCCCGGACATGGTGGGGTTTCGCGAATCAGACGGGTTCAAGGATATCGCTCAACGCAATCCGCCGACCAAACAGGAAATTGAGACTATCTATGAGAATGTGCAGTTTTCTGTTCGGTTCTACGAGCAAGTGCAGATTTTTGAGGGTGAAAAGGCGAAGGAGAATGGTACGTTTTCTCTCGATCTCATTTCATCTCACGTGAGATGGAAAAAACAAGAACTGGGTCGTTTTGTTCCCATTGCAGCTTCATTCGTGGAAATATGAAGAGAAGGAATTACAATTCTAACCGTATGATTTAGGCCCCGCAAAATTCATCATTTCGGGCGCTCTCGAGCCCCCCTCCGACACCGCTTCCACCGCCGATTTTGACAAATGGTACCGCGAAGAGCATATCCCCCTGCTCTCCCGCATGCCGGGCTTCATTCGCTCACGGCGCTACGAGGTCAAGACTGCGTACACGCTCAACCAGCTTCAGCCCTCGGATGATATGGGGAAAGTGCCAAAGTACTACGCGCTGCATGAATTTGCGATTGAGGAACTGCCGTGGAAGCAGATTGAGGAGAGCGTGAGTACGGAATGGTCAAAGAGAGTTATGGGGAGTATACAGAAGGCGGAGGTGGGATGGTACAAGGTTAAGAAGGTTTATCCTGAGAGTGAGTGGGGAAGTGTGGGAAATTAAGTATGATGATGTGCCAATTCCAATACGAAATGAAGAACTTGATAAACTGTATTTACATGTCTCACTCCTTCCTCAACAATGCCAAATGCCCACCCGCACTCACGGTATCACCCGGTTTCACAAGTACCTTCTCGACCTGGATCTTGCCCGCTTTAGCCACAGACTCGGGTGTCTTGACTGCGATTTCCAATTTCATCGCTTCGAGAATAACAATCTGACCACCCTATTAGCACGACTGTTGCAGATGCAAACAAGACAAAAGAAATTAAGACTGTAACTTACCACCGTCGCCTCCCCAACCACATCCCCCTCCTTAACCTCGACCTTCCACACATTAGCATCAACCGGCGCCTCCACACCCACAATATTGGGGTTATCCAGCAACTTCTCCACCGTCCCCTCATCAACCCCACTCTCCGCCTTTTCCCTTCTCCACCTCTCCAAACTCTCGTGCTCCGCCTTATTCATCTCCTCCTGCGCCTCCGCCTGCTTCTCCCTAATCGTCCTAACCTCCTCTTTCGTCTTCTCCAACACATCATTATGCCCCGCCATATCGAACTCCACCTCTTTGTACTCCCACTCGTACTTTCCCGCGCGAAACCGTCCTAGTAACTCATCCAGCTCCTGCTCGCTAACTTGGTAGAAGGTGAGAATGTCAAAGTCGCGGAAGATCCAGGGTTTGCCGTCGAACCCGGGTTTGTAGGAGTAGTAGTCCCAGCAGGGGACTGTGCGTCCGGTCATTTGGTAGCCGCCTGGTGAGTCGACCGGGTAGATGGACATGCAGCTTCCGGCCCAGCCGACGGTGCCTTCGGGGGTGAAGACGCGGCTGGGATTCATCTTGGGTGCGGAGATGCGGTGGCGGGGGTCGACGGGGAGGGAAACGGTGTTGCCGCAGAAGAAGCCGACGACGACGGCCATGAATTGGCCAGTGAGGTAAATCTGTTTGAGTTGCTGGGGGGTTAGAGCGTTGTTTTTTGCTACGAAGGCGAGGTTGTCTGGGAGGTAGGGGGCGTGTGGACGTTGGTTGGTCATGTAGCGTTGGGTTGCTTCGTCTTGGAGTTTGGACTCGAAGGAGATGGGGAGTTTGAAAACGCGGGTGGGAACTTTTGTGCTTCGGAGGTCGCCGAGTTGGGACTCGATGGACTGGAGGTGGGCGATTAGATCTGCTCGGGGGATTTTGGAGCCGTCGTAGAAAAGGAGGAGGGAGGTGCAGCATCCGACTGTGTTGAAGAGATTGAATCTGATGCTTTCTGGAGTCGACTCGGAGCGGATAGCGTTTTCAAGAGCCGTGACACGACACCGGTGATTGAGATCAAAGTTCTCGTTTCCGTACTCAATCAAAAGGTGATCATCTCCTCCTTGACGATATCTGACTTGAGGAGTGCTGGCGTCCTCTGGCTTTTCCCATATAACAGCTTTTCCAATATCACCCATATGGAAGTCGCAATGCGCGCCTTGCAGCTTCTCAATCCCCTGGAATGCGCCTCCGCTCTTGATAGCCTTCTCGACAGAGTCTAAGAAATTATCGTTCCACTTTCGCTTCTTCAACGCATCTTCGAGCCCAACACGGATATACCGAATAGTATTTCCTGCTTTGAGTTGTCCAAGTTTCCACCAGTCTGCCCTGATAATCGTCGTGCTACTCGTGAAGCCACCAAAATTTGGACAATCGACCGGAAATATACACGGGTCATCTCCTGTCCAGTTCAAAGTACCGAGCGGATATCCATATTCAATCAGGTTGCTTGGATGAGCACCACCCTGGCCACCATCTTTGCGAGCCCATTTTGGTACTGGGCCAACCAGACGAATACCACTTCGAGAAGCGTTGTGGGAGACCTTCCAATCGGTATTGTAGATTTGCTCAATGAATTTTGGATCGAAATAGCCTTCGTCATGTGGACCAACCATGGCCCTGATTTCCCATTTCGACTTGTACGCTGGGCGGAGATGCTCAGGAAGCGACATGCTTGTGAATGACTCTGGGATTTTGTCTGTTATCTGCAGCAAGTCACCTGGTGCAAGCGCGCGGCCCTGGTATCCCCCAATAGCAACAAGCGGGGACGTCGATTTTGAGCCAAAGTAATCTGCCACTGAAGGAAACCCGCCGTAGATAGCTAGGTAAGAGCGGCAGCCACCGCCAGTTGTCTTTCCAATCTTCAGTTTCTGTCCAGCCTCAATCTTCACGCTTGTCCACATTGGAAACTCGTTGTCGTCCAGGGTTGCTTCCATTGGTGCACCGCACAGAGCTACGATGGCCGGACCTACGAATCGTAACTCTGGTCCCGTCAAAGTGAGTTCTAAGGCTTCTTTTGTCCGAGGATTCCCCACAAGCATGTTTGCAATTCGGAAGGCTATTGGATCCATTGGTCCGGAATGAGGTACACCTTTGCCGACTGTTGGTCTTGCGGGGAGGTCTTGGACAAGAGTGTATGCACCCGCTGATATCACATCAATGGCATGGGGCGTGTATTTGAAGTCCTTGAGGAAACTAGTCATTGTGTTGCCGTTTTTGAATCGAGCGTCGTCCAGGATACAGGCTAGGAATTCGAGGTTGGTTGGTGGTCCGCTTATGAGGGATTGTGTGAGGAGATCTATCATCGAGGCGATTGCGTCGTCCCTGGATTGAGAATGAACCATTGCCTTGGCTATGAGGGGGTCTGTAAACCGTCAGTTTATGGTCCAGTTTGAATGCGGAAGAATATCATATGCACGAACATACCATAATTCGGCGTAATCCTTACACCTGTAAACACCCACGTATCAATGCGCCCACCAGGGACATCCTTCCACTGAACCTTCTGCAGTAAACCCGGCGAAGGAGCATAATCTCTGAGCGGGTTCTCAGCATATATCCTCGCCTCAATAGCCGCTCCAGAAGGACCCGCAGGCTGCATATCTTTCAACGTCTTGCCATCCAACCCATGTCTCCCAGCAAGCTGTGCATCCGCCTGCTTAAGCATAAGCTCGACCAAATCAACTTTGTAGCACAGCTCCGTAATACCATGTTCAACCTGCAATCTTGTATTCATTTCCAGGAAGAAAAAATCTCCAGACTTGTCATCGACCAAGTACTCAATCGTGCCTGCAGACCCATACTTAATAGATTCTGCAAGCCGCACAGAAGCATCACCCAGCTTCTTGCGCAACTCAGGGTGTTTCTCAACAAAAGGGCTCGGACACTCTTCAATAACCTTTTGGTGGCGGCGTTGAATTGAGCACTCTCGCTCGCCAAAATGTATCGCTTGGCCCTGGCCGTTGCCAAACACCTGGACTTCGATATGGTGGCTAGCCGGGTAAAACGCCTCGATAAAGACACCAGGGTTCTTGAACAGCGTCTTTCCTCTCGACTGCACCATACGAAATCCATCCCGCACCTCCTCAACCTTGTTGCACGTGATAAGTCCCATACCCCCACCTCCCCCTGTTGCCTTGAGCATAACAGGAAACCCAATCCGCTCAGCTTCTTTCGCAGCTTCTTCTTCATTTTCAACCAGGCCCTTTGTTCCTGGTACAATGGGTACGCTCGCCGCCTCTGCAAGTTCCCTTGCAGTATGCTTGACACCAAACGCTTCAATCGCCTCAGGTGATGGTCCCACCCACGCAATCCCCGCATCACCAACTAGTCGCGCGAAATCCGCATTTTCTGATAGAAAGCCGTAGCCGGGAATAACAGCATCTGCGCCTTTGTCTTTTGTTATTTGCAACACGGCATCTGCGTCTGTGTATGCTGTTGCATTGTTGCCGGGAAGTAGTACTGCTTCATCTGCATCCCGCACATGCTGGGACGCAGCGTCGGCCTCGGAGTAGATGGCGATAGTCTTGATGTTGAGCTTCTTCGCCGTCTTACATATGCGGACCTATATCATACATTCATGTCAAGTCAGTCAACTTTGTATCGATAAACAACGGAAGCCTTGCGTAGGTAGTATGTGGCAATACTACTTTGTCTTTTCTACATACGTACCGCGATCTCACCACGATTCGCAATAAGCAGCGTCTTTAGCTTCTCCATCTTATACAAAAACGATCAAATAAATATTCAAAAATTACAGTTGTTGCATCATGTTATCCGTCCTGAGGATGGGGACCACTTTATCGACGTCGCGTCGTTGGAGCCCCAATCTACCCATCGGCGTCGTACCATCTCCAAGAGACCCCGCCTTCCCCCTTCCGCCTCCCTCCGCATCCGCGGGAAACCCTCAGCCCCTCTCGTAGTTGGAGACGAATCCTTTTTGCAATTGGCGCGCGGCACACGGCCGCACATGGCTGCATTGGGTAATGTCGAATCGACACGGGATGCCTACGTCAGCGGGGCAACGTACAACAGAGAAGCGGGGTCGATAGCAAAGTTTGGAGACAAATGACGCTGCAGGTGTGACGGGTGAGTGGAGTAAGAGTGGAGATAGCTTGTAGGGTGATAGTTGTTAGATATGAAGAATGTTTAATTTATATTAGTTTACTTGACTGCGTGTACTTATCAGACATTTGTTGTGCGACTTCGAGCGTTTTTTTTTTACCAAAGCACGGTTATCACAGCAACAATGCCAGCGATCAAGCACCCCGTCAAAATCAACGTCGATCTAGGCGAAGGCTACGGAAACTTCAAATGCGGACCAGATGAAGAATTAATCCCGCTGATTGACCACGCAAATGTAGCATGCGGCTTTCACGCCGGGTGAGTTACTTTTCAAAATCTCACCCCCCCATATCTATCTCCACTAAATCCTCAACCTCCCCCCAAAAGAATAATGTAGATTCTACACACAATTAACAAAAAATGCACCTAGCGACCCCCTAATAATGCACAACACAATCCTCCTCTGCAAATCCCACAACATACTCGTCGGCGCACACCCCGGCCTGCCAGACATCCAAGGCTTCGGACGCCGCGAAATCTCCATGACACCCGAAGAACTCACCGCGCTCACCCGCTACCAAGTCGGCGCCCTCCAAGCCTTCCTCGACGCCGAAGGCATGCCGCTGAACCACGTGAAGCCGCACGGCGTACTCTACGGCATGATGTACCGGGACGAGACGGTTTGCCGAGCGGTGTACGCAGGGGTTCCGCGGGGAACGACGGTGTTTGGGTTGGCGGGGACGACGCATGAGCGTGTGGCGAGGGAGATGGGGTTGGGGTTTGTGGCGGAGTTGTATGGGGATGTTAAGTACAATAAGGATATGACGTTGGTTATTGATCGGAAGAAGAAGTATGTTTTCCTTTTTTTTCATCTTTCTCTTTCCCCGAGGTTTGAGCTTGGATAGTGTTTTGTATGTGGTAAGATGCTAACTGGTATGAATAGGCCGTGGCATCCGGATGAGACGAGGAGGCATGTAAGGAGTCAGGTGGAGAATGCGACTGTGACGGCGGTGACGGGTGAGGAGGTACAATTGCCGGTTGGTGATTACGAGGTTTCGCTTTGTTGCCATTCGGATTCGCCGGGTGCAGTAGAGATTGTTAAGGCGGCGAGGGAGATTGTGGATGAGTTTAATAGTAAGCACTTTCCTGAGTCGTAGCATGGACGAGATTGGTGAGAGCGAACGAGAGCTTTGGCAAATGGACGGGGGTGGTGGGGTTTGGACGATATAGCCTAGCTAGAGGTAAAGGTTCAAATGTTAGAGCAATACCATTCATCAAAACATTAGTCTGTTGTGGGATTTTTTGACATGGGAAAAATCAAGGACACTTGTCTATGATGAGACTCAAACAATTCTACGCTTGGAAACTACCCTCGAAAACTAACATGCATATATATCCCTAATTTTTCAAACATTCATTCCATTCCAAGAACTAAACTTACACATTCACATCAGGCACACACAAAAAAAAGCCTACACATCTATCAAGACACCATTGTAATGACGCCTCCATCACACCCACACCCACAAAAAAATCACCACACCAACTCCGTCAGCGAAGGAAAAAAAAACCCCCTCGCAAACATTGATTTTTTTTTCTACACTATCCAAAGCTAAGAAAATCCCTAGCCCTCGAACTCTGACACCCCTTCCCCCCTTCCAAAAAAAGCAACCACAAACAAGCATTCAATCACAAAAAGATTCCAAAAGTAGAACTCAAAAAAGACCAGCAAGTCCCCCAAATCGCCAAACATGCACGCACATAAAACTCAATCCAATCACTTTTTTTCCTTTTTTTTCTTTACCAAATTTTGCGCACTTTCTCATTCTTCTTTTTGCATATTCCTCTAAAATATAAAACCGTAAAAAAGACACGCACACACATCCGGTCCGCGAACCAAAATGACACAAAAAAGATTCAGATAAGCAGATAAGAAAGGGAAAAAAACCCCCCAATTCTTGAAAGTTTTTTCGATTGAAGAGAGAGATATATAAATGTTTTGACCAGCCGTTTTGTGGAGATAAGAAAAGAGAGAGAGAAGAAGAAAAAAAAGCCGGCTTTGAAAAGGAGGAGGAGGAGAGAGAAAAGGAAGAAAGATTTTAAAAAAAAAAGATCAGCGAAAACGTTTGATAGAAGAAGAAAAGATAAAAAAAAGGTTATGGGGATATCGATAATGCAAGTGAAAGAGGGAAAAAAAGGAAGCGAAGGTAAGAAAGATAAGGTTTTGTCGCGCTGGAAAACAAAACAGGGGAAAAAAAAGGGGGGGGGGTATGGCAGAGAGTATGGGTGTGGGTGATGATGGTTGATGATGGGTGATGGGAAAACAGCAGCCACGGGCACAAATTGTGCGGTTTCCTGATTTACACCAAATACCATCTCTCTCTGGTGAACACACACAGAAAGTGGCACATACACACACACAAGTCTATGACACTCCTCCCCGTCATGTCAGCAAAACTCCCCCCCTCCACGCGCATCTCTGTAGAAATGGCGAAGTCGAAAATTGAATAGAAGAATCACCTTATAAGCCCCAGTAAGAGGGTTTGGGGGTTCAGCAAAAAAAAAAAGATAGCAAGAAGATGGAAAAAAAAATCCTAGCTTTCATAACGATCACCTCTGGGGTATCTCGGTAGAAATCTCTTCTGAAACCTCATCTTCGGGCCGTGTCTTCAAGCCACCCTCGACCTGAATACCCTGCTGTACCCATTCCGTCTTCTCGATATCCTCCAGACTCTTGCGGCCACGTGAGACCTTTTTCAAGAGACCCTCGACGCATTCACGTGCGCCGGCCCACTCTTTGCCTTTCTCGGCATCCCACTCGCCGTCCTCGTCGCCAAACTTGACCCACGACCAGTCGCATCGGGCAATGCGGTGGGCGGCTCTGCTACGCGAGGCGGCTTTGCCTGGCGGGGGGTCAAACGGTAAGCGGCCCTCCATCAAAGCATACAAGACGACGCCAAGCGCCCAGGCATCAGTGGAGCGGCCATCGTAGGGCTGGCCGAGCAAAATCTCTGGGGCTGCATAATCTTCACTTCCGCATCGAGTTGTTAGGAGAGGAGATTCAGGTGGAGCAGGGATGCGTCGAGAAAGGCCGAGATCTGTGAGTGTCGCTATGGCATGCGGATGGGCCTGGGGGTTCTTGAGAAGAGGCACGGCAGACACAGGAATGTTGAGCAGGATATCTGGATGGCATTAGTATCAGACAGCACCAATAGAAACGTACCATTTCAAAGGTGGAACGAGCAAAGAGTGAGAGTGAGAGAGTGGAAGCAGTACTTTCTAGTTTGATATCGCGGTGCACAATGAGTTGGCAATGCAGATAACGCACGGCGCTGACCATTTCAGCAAATATACGTTGGACAATGCCGAGGGTCAGCTTGTCGCGATGGTCACTGGCTACATCAAAGAGATCACCACCGGGACAGTATGAGAGGACAATCAGGGCTTGGGCGTCATCGTGATCGAAAGCTTGCAGATGGACAAGCGACGGGTGTGAAACGGATCGAAGCATCTCAACTTCTCGCTTGAGGCTCAGTTCTACTCGTTCCTCGTCGGCACCACCAGCCGGACCATGCTCGACGACCTTGATGGCGGCCAGCTTCCGTGGGTCCAAAAGGGTTTCGTCGAGAGGATCCTTGGCTGCTGTCTTTTCGCAAGTGGCTAAGTAGACCTTGCTAAATGTACCTTGGCCGAGTTGACGGACAGGACGCCAGAGCTTCTTTGTCTTTTGGGGACCACTTCGTACAACCAAGTACTGCTTCTTGTCCTCGTCGGTAACATCCTCTTCCTCGGTGTCAGTAACACTGCGGTTGCTAGCGTTGCTCGCAGGGGGAGTAGGAAGCCCAGCTGGGACTTTTGCGGGGACCAGACCCCGTTGTGTAGCCAGATATGTCTCGCGGCTCATGCGGTGTTGGGCGGCGGCGCCGTCTGGTTCTGCGGCGGTGTTGCCGATTGTGACATGACGAGGGCGGGCGTTGTGCATTGGGTCGGGTGTGTACTCGCTCACGCTCCTGTTGCGTTCGCGTGCAGCCTCGTTCTTTTGGTGCGAGTTTGCAGCGGCGGCCTCGATGGCGGCGGCCTTGAGGCCCGAGTAACCCTTTTTCTTGAGAGAGGGCGAGGGCGACAGCGTGCCCTTGGCGAACATGGCTACCGAGTCATCGCGAGAAGCGCCCGAGAAGCCCCGGGAGCGAGGTCGGTGTTCGGCTCTCTGCCATGGGCCAGGCGAGTCGCCCATCACCAGTGGGGAGGGGAGCGGGGTGATGTCGCCCAGCGCGTTGAGTGCGGGCGAGGATATTGCTGAGCCAGGCGACAGCGAACCCAGGCTCGCAGTCGACCAGGCTGTCCTCAGGTAGCCGTCCTGGATGGGAATCGGCGCCGTGGCCGACTGACGCAGCGCGTCGCTCCCGTTGGCGTCCAGATTGGCGGGATCGAGCGAAGCCGCCCGCGATGAAGTTGACTTTGAGATGGCAAGGTCCGTGTCTAGTTTGAGTGCCGTCGAGGGAGCGCGAACGTGGTATCTGGGCAGCGAGGGATCCGTGGTGCCGGGTTCAAACGAGAGGTCCGAGGGCGTGAGGGTCGAGGTAGCATTGGGGTGTGCGGCAGACAGCAGTGATGAGGCAGTGGTGGGCGTTGCAAGGGTGCTGTGCTCCTGGTTGGGCGTGTCAGCAGCAACAGCAGCAGCGGCGGCGGCCCTTTGGTCGGCGCAAGAAGGTAGAGGCGCGGGGCCAGGAGAGGCTGACGCTGGGCCCTCCATGGTGTTGTATTGCGGCGGCGGCGGGACACAAAGGAGTGGCTCGTCCATTAGTCGTCGGTCTACGGTCTGCGGGTAATGCTAAACATGGACGTGCGCCTCGTGTGGCATCCCTAGCGCATCCCCTCCCAGCGTCGGCCCCCATAGCTTGCATCCAGCCCTGCCCATTCCATTGCAAAGGCTGCCACACTAGGGCACAACCGGCCGGCAATCTTGATAACCTTCAAACAGGCAATAGTCTCGCCCATTGTACCGCCGATCGGCACGCAATGGGGCGGCTGACGACTGATTGAGTGACAGACTGACTGTGTGCGGCTCATGTCTCCCTGGTCACCACAGTCACGAGAACCGCACCACCCTCTCCCTTTCCTCCACCATGCATAGATGCCGTCCGTCGCGCCATGGCACAGAACCTCGTTGTCACTGCTATTTCTTCTATTCGTCAACCTACTTGCTTGGCTCCCCCCTAATGCCCTATAAAAGTACATACCTTATGCCATCCGGGGACCCTCTGCTTCATTAACTATAATACAAAATCTTAACAAAAGACTAGCTCGGAACCTTACTACATCTCGCCCGAACCCAACCTCGCTAATGCAGTCTTCTTTCTTCGAAAGCCCGAGCGCCTTCTGCTTTCTTTTCTTCCATCTGTCATGGCTAATTAGGAGGGGCATCTAGTCCCCTTTTCGACTTCACTTCGCCTGTCCGTGGTTGGAGTTAAACGGGTACTGTTGGTCAGATGAGGAAGGAGAGTAACCGAAAGGAGAGTAGCTGCTGCCAGAGTATCCCGCGTTAAAGTGACCTCCACTGGCAAAGTGGTAAGGGTTCGTTGGGTATGAAGGGCGATCTTCTTTGCTATTGCGCCCAAGATAACCGGCACGCGCAGCCCACTGTCCACCCTGGTATCCAACACGACCATCGTTGGCAACATCTGGAGGCGACATCATGCCGCGGTTATCGACCACATTGCCCGTGTCAGAGACAGGACCATGATTTTCAGCAAAGCCTTGAGGGTAACTCTTGTTTGGAGTACTGCTCTGTCCGCTGACAATACAGAGCTGACCCGCCTTCTCCTCTGACGACTTTTGCATGACCTGCAACATCTGCTTCAGCTCCTTGATTTCTGATTCCATGCTCGCCATCTTTTTGCCTTGATCCGTGAGAGTATCGGGAATGCCCTCGTTGATGTTATTCTTGAGCAGATCGAGGGTAGCGTAGACGTTGTCGTGGTTGGTCGTGATACTGTCGAAGCGACTCATGTACTCGTGTATACGAATGACATTTTCTTCAAGCTTATTCAATTGGGACTTGAAGTCATCATAATGTTTGTTGAACAACGCCACCAATTCTTCATGCCTCTCCTTAGACGTGTTCTTGTGCTGTTTGCTAAACATTTCGAGAAGATCCCAGGTGGTCTTGCCCACCACATCCAGGTGTTCATTCGTCATGAAGAAATGGTCATCAATGCTCTTGGGCGAAAGAGGTGGTGGAAAGGGCACAAAGTTAACATTAGGAGGCACCAACGGCCGGGCTGTAGGGACTAGCACTGGTGCTTTGTGCAGTGGGCTAGGAACAGCACTAAGACAGTGAGGCCGGAAGTCGCCGTGTGACTCGCTTCCAATAGGACTGACGTTATCCAACATGTCAGTGAGCCGTGAAGACGACTGATCTGGGTGGGAGTGACCGCCATGGCTATTGTTGTGTGGCGTAGGGTCACAACGCTCGTTGATGCGAAGCTCTTGCATGACGCGTGTCGTGATTCCAGTGTCAGGCTGTATACCCTCTGCCCTAGTACGCTGTTGGTTCTGGTAAAGTTCTCGTGCAGTTGGTGAGTTTGGATCAATATCCCTTGGGTCACCCTGGAAGACCATTCTGATGGAGCCACTCGTGGAGACCTTGCGTAGGTGCGGTTGTGACTTCAACTCAGAAGGGAGTGAGTATACGAAGCGGCTAGCGTCGGTCTGAGTGGTATTGTCAGTGTTTGTCCATGGAACGATGTGTTTACTCAATGGGAAGCGGAGTAATCGAGGTGAAGGTGAGGGTGCGTGCGAGTCCGCGAGGCAACGCCGCTCCACTTTGAGTGGAGGTAAAATGCAGCAATGATGGCAGACTCACATTTTTGGACGGTGTCTCACCCTCCAGAAACCCGTGGGCAGGAATGTCTTTAGGGGAGTAGAAGCGAGGCTTGAGTGGGCTGTAACTGTTCTGCTTGTAAATGCTGGTTTGGTGGTCCTCAGTACTGCGGTCTGGACGAGGAAGGAGCGATGCCTCCTGACTAGTGCCTTCCAGCGGAGCACTGCACTTGCCTTCAAGCCTGGTCCGCGAATCAATCCGCTCAGGGTAAGGCCATGTCAACGCCTCACCCACTATCAACTTTGTATAATCCTCTGCGTCGTAAGGGCGAAATTTTGCTGGACTACGGCCACTGTTCTTAGGGAAGGGGTCCAAGAATGGCGATGGTGACAAGTCGAAGTTTGGGAAGTGCAACTGCGGGCTCTTTTCACCTTTTTGGTCGTAGCTTTGACGAAGGTCTTGAGCGGGAGCTACCCTACGAAGCGGACTCGCAGGCCTCTGGTTTGGAGGAGTGTCCTTGGCAGGTGGTGTCGGTGGAATTATGGAGTTCGGCGACACAACAAACGGAGACCTTGGAGAATTATTCTCAGCATCAGATGATTGCATCTTGAGACCATATCTATCAGGCGAGGCTTGTCCGGTCGTAGGGCTGCGTCGTGACGGACCATAGCGGTGGCGATGAGCGTAGCTATCAGGGTTGATGACCTTGGTAGGCAGTGACTTTACGGTTTCCGAGCGAGATGGCTTTGCAGGTCTTGGTTGAATAGGCACTACCGGCTTGATGGGGCGGACTTGGACAATACGGGGCTGTCGTGCTGCTGTACCCAACACTTGGGCTGCTTTGGACGGCATTGGCGGCGGGGCTATGGAGCTAGATGACTTGGAGAACGGGTTGCGGATGTTTTGGAAAAGCTTCTTTTTGGGACTCTTGGTTGCCTCGTCTTGATCTCCTTCCGTCTCTGTGTTTGTAGCCCGACACTGTGATCGTAGATCCTCTGTCCTGACATAGACGTCGTCCTCGTTCAACTCACCTTTTGTCTTTTAGTCTACACCTCTTGAATAGAAATTACTAACTCACCGGTAGTCGGGGTAGGCGGTATCTGTCCAGTCATCTTGAAGAAGTTTCTTTCCGACCGCGACTCAATCTCACTTCGAGCTGTCTTCTGGTCAAGGGCTTCAAGCTGGGCTTGAGCAGTCATGGCACTCTGCTGACTGCGACCTGACTGCTTTGACCGTGACGTTGAGCCACGGCAGCTTCCTGCTGTAGAGCCGCGGTCTGATTTGATTGGAGATGACACACGCGCCTGTTCCATGAGATTGTTGAGCGTAGCCATGGCGTCGCGGCTCCTACCGGGAGCTGAGTGCTGAGTTCGTGTCCCAGCCAGATCCACAGGTGTAGTCATTAAGGTAGCGTCAGTCGAGTACTGCTCCTGTCGAACAGAGTTTGATCTATTACGAGCATGTCGCTGAGGTTTCTGTTGGCTCACAGGTCTAGCATCTGGCCAAGGTCGACTGAGTTGCTGCGGTAGGGGGGGTAGGTAGGGAGGGAGAGGCGGAGGGCGTTCCTCCTCTTCACCGAAGCAAAAAGACATATTTGGCAGCCTTCTGGTGAAAGACTGTTTTGTGTGTGAGCCTGCCGCGGATGACTGTGAAGAGGGAGAGTGAACACACCCTATGGTATTGACTTGGGCGAAGTGAAAAGCTCTGTTATCTTTCACTGCTTACACTGGTTAACGCTTTCAAATTGTCAAGTCACAGTCGTTCACGTCCGGAGGTTCTTCGACTGCGGGTGTGTGTGGAGAGAGAGTTTGTTGCTGGACAGAGACGTCTTTGCTGTATACAAAGTGCTGCCACAGGCAACAGTGGCGACAACAAACGCACGCCTCACTCACCTCGACTTTGAAGACAAACGAGACGTGTATAGTCTAGAAATGACGTACTGGAAAAAGTGAAAGGAGGGCAAAACTCTGCTTCTCTGGTGCCAACCATAGCACCAGAGGCACTGTAGTAGGCCCCAACTGTCTATAAGCAAGACGGCCTCGAATTGGGAACATGGATGCATCTGTAGATGGAAACTGGAATGTGATGTTCGAATTGACTGTCGTCCGAGCACTGTGCAGTGCCCGTATGCCAGCCAGATCAATATGTAGAGTGCAGAATGAAAACGAGCCTGGTAACGGCAGAAGAAAAAGATCGCTACCCACAAATGGCGCCTGTATTCGAAGAGGTATCCAAAAGATTCATCGCCTAATCAAGAAAGATCTGCAATCCAACGCTCCCTAGCATGCGGTTGAGCTCAACTGTCGCCTTCACCCATGTTCAAAGTATGCTGCACTTCTTCCCCTTCTTTCTTTCTCCACCTTCTTTCTTTGTCGCCGGTGGCTCGAGTGCTGCTACGATTGCCTATGACTGGGATTAGCATCAGGGGAAGTGGGCAACTGGTCATGTCCACCTACCTCGTCAAAAACATCCTTGAGCTTGAACTGAGTTAGCGCCGAGCACTCGACGTACTTGACAGCACCAAGCTCGCGCGCCATTCGCTCGCCGTCTTCCTTCTTCACAGGGGCCATTCTCTGCTTGGACAGTTTATCTTTTACTGACGCATCCTCCCGCAGATCTACCTGTGTGCCTACGATTAGACACGGCACGCCGGGGCAGTGGTGGTGCACCTCGGGAAACCATTTCTCGCGGACGTTCTCGAAAGAAGCGGGTGAGGTGACGGAGAAGCAGACGAGGAAGACGTCTGTCTGGGGGTAGGATAAGGGTCGGAGACGGTCGTAATCCTCTTGTCCGGCAGTGTCAAAAAGACCAAGCGTATAGGGCTCGTCTCCAATCCTTCAACGCAGTCAGCAGCTGCTCCACCAATAACAGGCGGCCCAAAACCCTGGTGCGCCAGGAGCATGCATTGCTTTTCCAGATGTACGAGCGGG